GAGAGAGAGAGAGAGAAGCATAGACATTTGTTCTCATGGCCCTCAAATACAAAGCCTGGTATCTAATGTATATTTATTCTTTGGTCTTGCTACATTACTGCAGCTTAGTTTTTATTTATGAATTATGAAACTATAGAGTTCACTTGTATTGTCATTCCAGCTTGAAGATGAAGAAACTCTCCTAAGCACATTACAAATAGCACATTCCAGGAGTGATACGGTGGAGCTAAACATCCAGGGCTGACAGTTTCCTACTGACTAACATTATTTAGTGGCTGTCAACTCCTAGCAAGCCTATCCTGTGATGGCATAATGTCCCTTCCTTCACTTTTTCTTAAGGGTCTAGTCCTGCACAGTACCTCAACTAACCTCCCACCATGAGTGCTCAAATGCTCACTCCTGCACACATGGCGCTCTCTGCTCTCCTCCTGCAATGAGGAGTTTTTCTGTTCTTCTAATATCTTAGCAAAACTAACATCTCTGTTAAGCTTCATGTAAGCACATTAGTAAGAAACTGAACAGAAGCAGTAAGGGATGGAGAGCTCTTCAAGGAAAAGCCCACCTAAGGGTGAAGTGGGACTCCCATCACCTAACTATGTAACTTGTGTGGACCAACCTTAATTCTGCCTAAAAATTATACTTGTATTTGCTGGGTAACATAAATGTTGCAGAAGTCCTCAAACAGACCAAAATCACATTTGAAATAAATGACTGTTAAGCAAAATCTGCAGCTTTACATACTCACAGGTGGCCTAACTCCAGAAGGTTTAAGGATTTCATGCCATATCTACATCACCAGTCTTCTGAAAAATTCTCAGAAAAGAATTCTGAAGTCTTTCAAAAAAAAAAAAAAAAACCACTTTGCAGCCTGGTTCCGATGGGCCACACCTGTAATCCAAGCCAGTTTTGGGAAGCTGAGATCAAGAAGATCATAGTTCAAGGCCAGCCTGGGCAAAAAAGTTTGCAAGACTCCATTTCAACAGAAAAAACTGGGCATGGTGGTGCACACCTGTCACCCCAGCTACAGTGGGAAGCATAAAAGAGAAGGATCATAGTCCAGGCCCACTTCAGAAAAATACAGTGAGACCCCCATTTCCAAAATAACCAGAGGAAAAAGGGCTAGAGATGTGCCTTTAGTGGTAGAGAGTCCGCTTTGCAAGCACAAAGCCCTAAGTTCAAACCTCAGTGCTGCCAAAAAAAAAAAATTTTTTTCTCATCTTTATGGCTTTTTTTGTTTCTTAAGTAAGTCTTGGCACCCTCACAGAATTATGAACTGACAGGACATTTTATCTGCTCTCAGTAAGTACATCATGCCAAACAAAATGTACTGAGTCACCTTCTATACCTAAAACATTTCACTCTGGCCTGGCCTTTATTAGCATGAAACAACCTGTTTTTGAGCAGTGAGGCACAGCTTTCCTTCCAAAGAGTGAAAGGCTGGCTAACACTGGGCTTTTAAACGTGTTAATTTGCCCAGAATGTCATGAAATTCTACACTCAAGGCAAGCAGTCCATGTCAACAAAGTTCAGTGCTTTCTGAATTGGCTCATGAAAAAGCATTTCATATTTTCTTTTGAGACCAAATGGAGAAAGAAACTGACAACTAAGGAATTACAATCAACAGAAACATGTCTTTGTTTTAATTATGTTGAAGACATGGGCACCACTTTTAGGTGCACAAAAGTATAAGCATCAGAGTTAAAAATAAAAGGGTGTCATCAGGCAGGTGCACTTATCACTTTTCAACAATACAATCTTACCTGATTGAGTGAGGTGGTGTCTGTAAGTACAGCATCGGGAGGCCTACTAGGTACCACTACAGCTGGCTGAAATCAAAAGACATAACAGGTTACAAGGTTACATCTTCAACACAACACACAAACACATTTCAATATAATAAATCCTACAAACTGGAAATAAGGGGGGTTTTGTCTTAGATTTAAAATTTCATAACTCCTAGTTCATATAAATTAAATTCTCCTGAAATCATCTTTAATGTAAGGAATTATATAATCAGTTCCATTCTACAGGTCGCACAGGGTTTTCCTGTACAAAAGACAATGCCAATCTAAGAATGAGATAATCAAGCTAAGCTAATCAGTATTTTTTTCTAATCAGTCTTTAAAACTGGTCTTTAAAAATCTTTTTTTAATTATTATTCATCTATTCAATGTATGTACATTGTTTAGGTCATTTCTCCCCCCTCTTTATATATTTTAATTTGCCATCTTACAAAATTACACTTTAAACTCAGTTACCAAAAGAATTTTGAATTATTATGGCTCTTAACGTAGAGAAGTAAAACTATTGGCTACAAAGTAAAATCTGAGCAGATTTCTGATTGATTTAAACCAAAGTAAAGATAAAAAACATCCTCCTTAGTTGAATTGTATTCGAATAACTACTATCAGTAATTCATAATAGAAAAATCAGATTCATGTCTATCTCTATTACACAAATTTTCTCTAATAAAGTGGAATTAGGCAGCAATCTTCCATCATTAATGCCAAGTTCAGATATATTACCAAATTCCTTTTTTGCTGTTATTATTTTTTTTCCTAACCAAATTTATCCTTGCAAAGCACCAAAAAACATTGACAGTAAAAGATCACAGAGAAAGATGCTATGTCTAAAAGCAAACAAGAACTGCTGTTTTCCAAGATTTACTACAGGAGCTGCACCCTTCGTGTCAGTTGCTTGCTGTATATTTTGCAAGCTTTATTGACATATTTATTTTCATTTCATTCTACCGGGTTTTGGAGCAGAGATGTTTGGGGAGATTTCACACCCCAATCTTGAAGTAGCCCTGAAGTGTCTTCTAAGATTTTTAGTACTTCTAAAAAGTTTATTCTGCAAAGTCAACTTTAAGCCACAGCCACAAAGGTATGAGCAAAGCACACAGAAGATAGATGTGATGCCCTGAGTTTCATGGTTAACAGGACAGCAAACGAGGATGGCACATGCATCACCACGATGCAGCATCAGCTCCCATTTGTTCTCAAAGCAACACGTGACACTAGTGAGGACCTGCTGTTCCTTTGCTGTGATACCAACTAGGGAAAGCAGCCTAGCTTCCACAATTCTCCATGCTACCCATGTCACAGATGCACATGCAGAGTGGGGATGTGGCTAAGTAGCAGTGCACTTGTCTGGTAATTACTGAGTAATTGTAAAGTAATCTGCCCACACAACAGAAAGAAATGATCACAATTTTTTTAAGTGGTAGCTAAATTGGTACACCTGTGTTGATACATAATTCACATACAATTCATCCACTGAAAATGTAAAACCCCATGGTTTTTAGTATCTTCTCAGGATTGTGGAAACATCATCAACATCAAATTTAGCATTATCAATTGATAAGAGGATCAATTCAGTAAAAATATGTAACAATTATGAGTATGTTTGCACCCAACATACATGTATATATGTAATCACCCAAATATCTAAAGGAAATGTTAATAGATCTAGAGAGAACAGACTCCAGTGTAAAAATAGCTAGGGATTTCAGCACCCACTGTCCTCAATGGACAGATTACTCAGGCAGAAAATCAACAAACATCTGAGTTGAACCCTATAATACAGCAAATGAACCTAATGGATATTTACAGCACATTTCACCCAGTTGCACCATAGTACACAGTCTTCTCATCAGCACATGGAATGCTCTCCAAGATAAATCATGTTGAACTACAAATCAAATCTCAAAAATTTTTTCAAAATTGGTTATTGCATCATGTACCAAAGCAGAATTAACAAGAAGAATGAAGAATATTCAAACACATGGAGATTAAGTAACATAAATGACCAGTGGGTAACTGAAAAAATTAAAAGGAAAACAAAAACTTCAAGAAATAAATGGTAATGACAACAGAACAAAGTGTGTGGGATACTGCAAAAGCAATGCTAAGAAGGATGTTTATAGCTGTAAGTACATACATTAAAAATAGAAAGACCTCAAATTTTAAAAGCCTAACTGTATTTGACAGACTCAGAAAAGCAAGAATAAACCAAAACTGGGAGAAGGAAGGAAATAATTAAAATTGAAACTAAAAACACAGAAGACCAATGAAATAATGCTCTTGTAAAAGCTAAGAAACAAATAATACAAACCTTTAGCTAGACTTAAAAAAAGAATACCCAAATAAATAAAATCAGAGCTGATAAAAGAGACATAATATACCATAGAATTATAAAAGATGGTAAGAAGCCATGACAAGTACTTCGCTAAAACACTACAAGAAAAAATGGTTAAATTCCTAAACATATACAACCAAAACTGAATCAAGAAGTAATCTAAATACATCAATAATGAGTAATGAAATTGAAGCAATAATTAAGAATTTCCCAGTGTAAAAAAAGAAAGTCCAGAACTTTATAGCTCTACTGCTGAATTCTACAAAACATTTAAAGAACTACTCCAATTCTTCTTAAAAGATTCCAAAAAGGCTGAAACAGATGAAACTCTGCCAAACTCTTTATGGGGCCAAAATTACCATGATATCAAAATCAGACAAACAGACAAAAAAAAAAAAGAGGATGGAAAGAAGGTCAGTAAGGGGCACCAAAAACACAGTTGGAGAAGAAGAATCACTTCCAGTTCTTTAGCACAGTAGAAGAACATAGGTTAAAAAAAATCTATGATAATCTCAAAATTAGTAGAAGAGTACCAATTTCCAAGACACGAAAATGGTTCAAGTTTGAAGTGATGCAAATGCTAATTATCCTAATTCATTACACATGGTACACAAGTGTTTAATGACCCAGCATACACCATAAAGATGTGCAAATATTATGTCTAAAAATGTCATCTTGGTGTCTGCCCCTCCCCTCTCCGGACCTTTTAGTAAAAAAAATTTTTTAAATCCATGCCTTACCTTGGCTTTCTCTGATGTCTGTTTCCCACCAAAGCCTCCAGAGCCAACGATGAAGACAGAGAACTGATTATAGCATACAAGTTCCTTCCCAGAATAAGAATAGACTATAAAATGAAAGGAATTATTATCAAAAGACAAAACAAGATAACCAAGAAATGCCCAACAATTCCTTTAAAAGTTTCAAAAACAAAATCCAATTACTGAAAGGGTCTGTCTGCATTTTACAAATGACTAAATTTGGATTACAAAGAGATCATTTTAATGTACCAATCCTCAATCTCTGAAAAACATAAAGAGCTTCACAAATCATGTCTTAGTTGAAGTTAGTTTCTCTCGCCTCTTCCTAAGCCTCCCCAACTGCCAATCATATTTCAATTTCTTCCACCACAAACATTTCACACTATTGTCCTGGAAAATGCAAGAAGCCACACTCAAACTTTCAAACATTTTGTTGAAGTATTTAAGAGCACAGCATGTAGAAAAAGAGGCAGGTGGTAAGGGAGTAAAGGATAAGCACCGGGGCTGGAGTCTTGCCTGCTACCAATGTGCCCAGAAAATTAAAATTTCATACTGGCATAAAAAGGCATCTAATAAATGTTTGGTAAATTAACTAATAAATCACTAAATAAGTAAGTGAGCAAGTTAGCAAATAATAATAAGACAGCTCTTCCCTATTAGTGAGTGATTTGGTATTTATCTGTTTTATATCTGGTTCTAAAAACTTTGAAATATGATTTGATATGTATACTAAAGAAAAATCTATTTATAACAAAAATAAGGAGATTAATAGCAATTTGTATTTACAATAAGATTTTTATTTTTATTACACAAGAAACGAGGATTTCTAGCTGGGTGCCAGTGGCTCACGCCTGTACTCCTAGCTACTTAGGAGGTAGAGATCAGGAGGATCCCAGCTCAAAACAAACCCAAGCAAATAGCTTGCAAGACCCTATCTCAAAAATACCCAACACAAAAAGGGTTGATGGAGTAGCTCAAGGTGTAGGCCAGGAGTTCAAGCCCCAGTACTGCAAAAAAGTAAATAAAGAAAAAAAAAATGAAAGAAATTAGGATTCCTAATTTCACCTAATCCATATTTACAATTTCTAATATACTGTGCTGTGTCCCGGTACCAAGCTGTAGTTGGATAAATGAGCAGATCAAGAGAGAATGAAAATTAAAGCAAGGCCACTCATGACCTTCGAGTTATGCTGCATTGGGTACAAGGGTGAGATGACTAACAGAGAACAGGATGATTTTAGTCAAACATTGGCCAACATCTGGAAAACAAGTGTGAAAACCTAAAAACGGAAGGAGGAGAAAGAGGAAGAAAGAAAAAAAGTGAACATACACAGTATTTAAAAGCATCAAAAACATTTTCAATATATTATTAAGTAAAAATAAGGCAAGTTCCAAAACAGATGGTCCCCAACTTACTATGGTTCAACTTAAAATTTTTCAACTTTGCAATGGTGTTAATACTGTCCATCTTCACAAGAAACTGAAAGCCAGATTTTAAATTCTGATTTTCCCCCAAGCTAGCAATATGGTGTGTGAGAATTTCCCACAATGCTGAAGAGCAGCAATATCACCAGCTCCACGAGCCGTGCAGTCACGCAGGGTGAACTGATACTCTGCAGAGCACTGACACAGTGCCAGGCTAGAATGTTCTGAAGGTGAGTAGTATCAAGTGAGTTTCTGATGTAAGTCATTTCCAATTCACCATGGACTTATCAGGATAGGGCCCACGTTAAGTCAAGGAGCCATCTGCATGACCTCCATCAAAATGACAGGGCCTATACTCCAAGAAGCAAGCAGTAATGAATTTCCACTGTTCTTTATTTCTAAATTTTAAACTATTTCTTTTCTTCTTACACTTTAAAATAATTTTAAGCAAGTCTTTAGTTTATATTTAGTTACTTGTACTTTTTTTTTTTTTTTTTTTTTTTTTTTTTT